ATTTGTTGGTTGAGCTAAACAAAATGAAGAAAAAATTAAATATTTAAATTTAAAACATACTATTCCAACCCCCAAAGGAAAAAATGGATGTTCTAGACCAATTAAAATAAAATTTAAACCCCTCCTTCTTAAAGAAACCTTTTTTCTATTTGTTGGTTCAATAGAACAAAATGGAGAAAATATTAAACTTTAAAAAATATAAATTTAGTCCCATCCCCCAAAAGACAAAATGTATGTTTGAGACCAATTAAATTAAAATTTAATCTCCTCCCTTTTAATAAAAACTATTTTTCATTCCTGGGTTCAAAAGAACGAAATACACTACCGTCGGGAATTATCGGTACGGCTGCAGACGCACGGCCTAAAAACATGCCAATCTTTAAATCTCGATTTCTTTGTAAATGCAAATGTCAGAAAATTAACAAAGATACCATTCGAAAGATTATTAAATTCTGCGATTAATGATAGATAACTGAAAATTTTAATAATTTATATAAAAATTGCAGCAATCGACAAATTTGACAAAAAAATTTTTAAAATAAAATTTTTTTGGAAATTTTTTCAACCCCTGCACATTTTTCAAAAATTGTAGAAAAAATTTGAAACTTATATAGGTGTAATCATTCAAGTCGCATCTTTAATTTAAGACCAAAAGAGTTTAAAAATCTTATTCGGTTCGTGAGATATCATTATAAACGTCGGAGCATGTTTTTTGACAAATGCATTGAGTTAGTCGATTTTGAACGGTTTTTGGCTGAAAATGCTCGGCTGTTTATAATGATATCTCGATAACCGATTAAGATTTTTTAACTTTTTTGGTCTTAAATTAAAGATGAGACTTGAATGATTACACCTATATAAGTTTCAAATTTTTTCTACAATTTTTAAAAAATGTGCATGGGTTCAAAAAATTTCCGAAAAAATTTTATTTTTAAATTTTTTTTGTCAAATTTTCCGATTGCTGCTAATTTTGTATAAATTATTAAAATTTTCAGTTATGTATCATTAATCGCAGAATTTAATAATCTTTCGAATGGTATATTTGTTAATTTTCTGACATTTGTATTTACAAAAAAATCGTGATTTAAAGATTGGTATGTTTTTGGGCCGTGCGCGTGCAGCCGTACCGATAATTCCCGACGGTAGTGTAAAAATTAAGAAGGAGTTTGATTTTTTTATTGGCTAATAGCAGTTTTTTTTCGTGAGGGGTTGTGTTCAATTATTAGTGAAGTGAAATATTCTAAGACAATTTTTGGGTTGAATGCAACTTTTGAAATTGTATCTACGTCAGCCGCGTGAGGGCAGCATCTTTCGGCGTTGTCGCCGGTGAGGTGCTCGCGCGCGCGTCCAAGTATATTCTCTTCTCTCTTAAAAGTAAAGTCTCTCGGCAAGGTTTCGTTTTTGCTCAGCTCTCCGATTCTTTCTTTTACATATATTATTTGAGTCAGTTAATTTTTCATAAAAGGGAGTTTTATTTAAAAGAGAACATTCTCGAATATAATTGTTAAAATTAGCAAGGATATTCTCAACATTGGGATCAGTTTAACGAAATTCACGATGAATTGATCACCAGCAGTTCGGCGAAATTCTTAAAAAATCCATACATCTTAGAAGATGTTTTCGGTAAATGTTTTCAGGCATTTACCAAGGCTAGAGACGCAATGCTTTTGCAAGTATGCGTACTTCAAAAGAAGTAATCTTCAACTTCTGCTTCCTCACCTGCTCCATCCGAGGCTCAGCTCACTCGAAGACTTCCGAAGATTTCTCTACCTTCCTTTTCTGGAGATTATTCAACCTGGACATCGTTCAAGGATCTTTTCACTTCATTAGTCAAGGATAATAAGGAAATCTCATCAGTTGAAAAAATGCATTATTTAAAAACCAGTCTTACCGGTAAAGCCAGTCAACTCATTTCAAACCTTCCAGTAGCTGGGGACTCTTTTGACTCTGCATGGAAAATAATTGTCTCAAGGTACGAGAACAAAAGATTACTCATTTCCACACACATGGACCAGCTCTTCGCTACAACGATCATTTCCCTAAAATCAGCCCAAGGAATTAACTCTCTTTTGTCATCCAATACGGAATCTTTGAATGCACTCGCAACTCTCGGGTTACCTGTTGAACACTGGAATCAAGTCTTAGTGCATCACATCACCAGGAGACTCGATACTCACACAAGGGAAGGATGGGAAGTCAAGCTCGGCGCTAAAACGGAACCTCCTACTTACGCTCAACTTAAGGATTTCCTCACTGGCCGAGCTCGGGCTCTAGAGAGCATCTCTAGTTATTCCCACCAAGTCAAGAGTAATAATGCACCAACCAAATCTCAATCCATGTCACCATCTCGCAAGGCTTATTCAGGATCAGCTCTTTCAACCAATCAACAGGGAGAAAATTCTTGCTCAGCATGTGGAGAATCTCATTACATCGCAAAATGTACTACATTTCGGGACATGACTCCCAAGAACAGAAGAGATTTGGTGATAAAGGAAAAACTCTGTTTCAACTGCCTTGGCAAGCACAGTGCAATTGCTCGTCGAATTAAAAAGCGATGTCAGGAATGTGAAGGCAAGCATCATACGATGATTCACAAATCATCTGCTCCGCAGCTGAATAAAGGCTCAGATTCGACAAGGGATTCTCAAAAGGACAAGGATCAAAACTCCGCAAACACTTCCAAGGCAAACTGATGGAATGATCAGCTTGACGACTGTTGTTCTCACTCAAGGCCAGTGGTTCTCCTCGCCACTGCATGCGCTCTAATTTATTCTCAACAAGGTACTCCTCACCTACTTCGAATTCTCATCGATTCCGGATCCGAACTCTTATTCATATCAGAATCAATGGTACGACATCTCAATCTCTCAAGGCAATATTCAACAATATCGGTCATCGGAATTGGAGAAATTAATTCAGGTACTACTCGAGGAGTAGTTCCAGTTACACTCAAATCTATCCATTCTTCAAAATTCATCATCTTCAATGCATATATTCTTTCAAAATTGTCGTCAACGCTTCCTACTACAGTTATTTCACCAAACAAATGGTCTCACCTTCAAAACATACAACTTGCCGATCCCGATTACCCCATTCCAAGGAAAATTGATTTGATTATTGGAACAGATGTCTATTCGCAAGTTGTGCAGCCTGACATCATAAAAGGACCTCTCTCATCACCAATGGCTCAACTTACTATTTTTGGTTGGGTGGTATTGGGACCAACCAACAATGATTCTAAAAAAGGACATTCACCTCATCATCTGATTGTGGATCAGCAACAGGATGATTTACAAGGTCTACTCACCAAATTTTGGATTCAAGAAGAAGTACCTACCAAGGAAAAGGACAAATTCACCATTTAAGAATTGGAATGCGAGGAGCATTTCAAGGTCACTCATTCAAGGGATTCAGAAGGAAAATACATAGTTCGACTTCCATTCTCTTCACCAGAGAGTGAACTTGGCGACTCGTACTTGAAAGCTCAAAGATGCCTTCATCGACTTTTCAACCGCTTTTCATCTCAAGGAACTTTCAAGGAACGCTACTTTTCATTTCTTACAGAATATGAAAATGATGGCCACATGGTTAAGGCTCCTCCAAGGAATAGTAGACTTACGACCTACTATTTTCCTCACCACGGAATTATCAAGGAGCAAAGCATCAGTACAAGTCTCAGGGTGTTTTTTAACGGATCCAGCCCTACTACATCCGGTACTTCTCTTAATTCAATTCTACATACTGGTCCCAAATTACAAAAGGATATCTCGGACGTCCTCCTCTGGGTAAGGAGATTTCGATTCATTTTTTCTACAGACATCACAAAAATGTTTCGTCAAATTAAGGTGCACCCAGATGACTGGGATTTTCAAAGGATTCTATGGATCGATGCAAACAATAAAGAAATTCCTTACCAACTCACCACGGTTACGTACGGTACCAGATCAGCACCATTTTTAGCAGTCAGGGTAATCCTTCAATTAATACAAGATGAAGGTCACAGATTCCCCCTAGCGGGTACCAGTTCTTCTCAATGGATGTTACATGGACGATATTTACGGTGGCTCTGACAATTTGTCAGAACTCAAGGACATTGCTAAACATCTCATTGGACTTCTCAACGCCGGCGGATTTCCTCTTGCAAAATGGAAAAGTAACCACTCTGACTTCTTCGACATTGTTACAAGGGAAGGTAACTAGAATTATCCTCACTTAATCAACAATTGTCAATCTAAGATCCTCGGTCTCTCATGGTTTTCAAAATTTGATGAATTCAAGTTCTCATTTGCGCCTACTTCTCTATCGGATCAAGGAATTTCAAAAAGGTCCATTCTCTCCGAGGTATCTCAATTGTTTGATCCTCTAGGATTTCTCTCTCCGATCACTATTAGGGCCAAAATGTTACTGCAGGAACTGTGGCTCGAAAAATGGGGTTGGGACGACCCTTTATCTGAGAGTATATCTTCCTGGTGGATTAAATTCAAGGAAGAGCTAGCTCAACTCCCACAAATCTCAATTCCTCTATGGCTCAATCTCTCTTCTACTTCTACTACGGAATTATACGGATTCTCGGACGCCTCTCAATTTGCTATGGCAGCTGTTGTTTTTCTCAAAACTTCGGAAATAAACAAGGATTCTAAGGTCACATTTGTCTGTGCCAAAACCAAGGTGGCACCTCTTAAACGTCTAACCATTCCAAGGTTAGAACTCTCAGCAGCTCACCTTTTGGCACGACTCATGGATTATGTTCAACGAACACTTGAATTATCTCACGCTCCAGTGTTTATGTGGACAAACTCATCGGTAGCACTCACATGGATCAACAGCCATCCCTCTCGCTGGAAGGTATATGTACGCAACAGGGTATCTTCTATCCATGACCTCGTCCCTCAAGGTCAATGGAGATTTATCAAAGGGAAGGAGAATCCTGCTGATTGTGCGTCAAGGGGTTTGTCTATTCAACAACTCTCTCAACACCATCTGTGGTGAAACGGTCCACCATGGCTCTAAGGTTCCAAGGAAGACTGGACGACTTTAACTTCCAAGGCAGAATCATCAGCTCAAGTCGAAGAAAAACCAGGATACACATTCTCTGCCACAACTGTGCATCATCAAACATGGGATTTGATTCATCAATATTCCTGTTTTTTAAATTGCTAAGAGTTACTGCTATTTGCCTCAGATTTCTTGCAATTCTCAACAGAATTACAAATTCTTCTTTACTCCGACCAATCGGACCTAAGGATTTGGATCTCGTAAAGACTACTTGGATAAAAATCACACAAGGAACATACTTCTTATCAGACATTAAGAATCTCAAACAAGGCATCAACTTTCCAAAGTCTCATCCATTCTCCAGACTTAATCCATTCATCGATCATGAAGGAGTTGTTAGAGTCGGAGGACGGCTCAATCATTCAACATCAGACAACGAAAGCAAGCATCCTGCTATTTTACCCAAGAATTCTCCTTATACTCGATTCATTATAGAGGAGGCTCATTCAAGGACTTTTCACGGAGGAACTCAACTCACCTTGGCTTGCATAAGCTATTCTTACTGGATCATTGGAGGCAGACAACCTGTTCGATCATTCATTCTTAAGTGCATTCAATCAATCACCAATCACCCTCAAATCTTAAAAGGGTCGTGGAGCAAAAACAAAAAAGGGTGGATTTGCCTTTTTGTATGTCTCACCATCTCAGCTCTGCATCTCGAGGTTGTCACGGACTACACCACGGAAGGATTTCTCTCAGCTTACCGGCGATTCACTTCAAGAAGAAGTATCTGCAGGACACTCTACAGTGACTGCACAGTGACAGTGACTCTACAGTGACTCCAATTTCATTGGAGCAGAAAGGGAATTGAAACAATTATTCAAAGCCACTTCTCAAGAAGCCAAGGAATTATCTCGGTTGATAATCAAAGACCGCACTTCTTGAAAGTTCAATTCTCCAGCAGCCCCACACATGGGTGGGAAATGGGAAGCTGCCGTAAAATCCATCAAATACCATCTCAGAAGGACGATCGGTGAGACGATCTTAACGTATGAGGAATTTACAACTCTTCTTACACAGATCGAAGCTGTACTCAACTCCCGGCCGTTAGAACCTCTCACGGAAGATCCTGACGATCTGACAGCTCTCACACCAGGACATTTTCTCATTGGCGAATCTCTAACTTCGATACCGGAATCTTCTCTTTTAGAAATACCAACTTCAAGGTTAACAAGGTGGAAACTACTCCAACAACAAGCTCAATTCTTTTGGTCAAAATGGTCTACCAGTTATCTCCAGCAGCAATTAGCTATCTCAAAATGGTATCATCCGTCTCATCAAATTAAGGTTGGTTCTCTGGTTCTTCTCACGGACGAAAGGTTCCCACCCTCAAAATGGCCTTTAGCCAGGGTCAATGCATTACACCCTGGAAAGGACGGTCTCACAAGGGTTGTCACAATCAAAACTGCAACGACTCATCTTAAGCGACCAATCACTAAGTTGGCCGTGCTCCCCATCTCTACGGAATAAGCTCTCAAGGACGACGTTCGTTCAACGCAAGGATCGTCAACATTTTTGCCGATGGGGGGACAATGTTCAATTATTGGTGAAGTGAAATATTCTAAGACAATTTTTGGGTTGAATGCAACTTTTGAAATTGTATCTACGTCGGCCGCGTGAGGGCAGCATCTTTCAGCGTTGTCGCCGGTGAGGTGCTCGCGCGCGCGTCCAAGTATATTCTCTTCTCTCGTAAAAGCATAGTCTCTCGGCAAGGTTGCGTTTTTGCTCAGCTCTCCGATTCTTTCTTTTACATTTATTATTTGAGTCAGTTAATTTTTCATAAAAGGGAGTTTTATTTAAAAGAGAACATTCTCGAATATAATTGTTAAAATTAGCAAGGACATTCTCAAGTTATAAGTGCATTCTTAATTTTTTGTAAAAGGTGTGCTCTCGCCGGCGTGGCCGCCGCCATTTAAAGAACTCGAGTGTATTTTATTGTGTGTGAAAAATATAAAAAGGCAAAATTGAAAATTCCAATTTAAATTTATTTAGCATTTGCCTAATTTAATTCCAACTATTTCTTTTTCATAAACTAAGGTTTTTCTCACGATTGTTCTAAACATGTTAAGACTTATATTTTTTAAAGTTTAATATTTTCTCCATTTCGTTCTTTTGAACCTACGAATGAAAAATAGTTTTTATTTAGAGGGAGGAGTTTAAATTTTAATTTAATTGGTCTTAAACATCCATTTTATCTTTTGGGGGTTAAGACTAAATTTTATATTTTTTAAATATTAATAATTTCTCCATTTTGTTCTATTAAAGCCACAAATAAAAAATATTTTTCTTTAAGAAGGAGGAGTTTAAATTTTATTTTAATTGGTCTAAATCATCTATTTTTCTTTTTGGGGGTTGGAATTATATGATTTAGTTTTTAAATAATAATTTTTTCTCCATTTTGTTTAACTCAACCAACAAATAGAAAAATTGATTTTGAAAATGGGAGGAGTTTGTTTATTGTTTTAAAAAAACGTTTTTTAAAAGTAAAAGAGATGATTTCTTAGTAATATCTCTTAAATCAAAGAAAGAAATTTTTCAATGTTTACTATATTTACACATCATTTTGAAACTTCGTGCGTTTATCTAAATCAGTTCCTTTCGTTCCGCCGTTCAGAATATGATCGTAGTGAATCGTAATCTGCTACAAGTATCACGCATGTTACCAATACATTGACAGGTCTCACAGTTCGCATATTTATCATTAATAATTGAACAATTTACGATTTAATTTCAACTTAAATAATGGATAAATCGACTGTAGAATAGTTAATTTATTAATTATAAGAGCTTTTTCTAACATTTTTAGTTTTTTTGATGAACTTTTTTCTACTATTTAAAGTGCTCCTCCCTTTTAATAAAAACTATTTTTCATTCGTAGGTTCAAAAGAACGAAATGGAGAAAATATTAAACTTTAAAAAATATAAGTCTCAACCCCTCACGAAAAAAACTGCTATTAGCTAATAAAAAAATCAAACTCCTCCTAAATTTTTATTTCGTTCTTTTGAACCCAGGAATGAAAAATAGTTTTTATTAAAAGGGAGGAGTTTAAATTTTATTTAAATTGGTCTAGAACATCCATTTTTTCCTTTGGGGGTTGGAATAGTATGTTTTAAATTTAAATATTTAATTTTTTCTCTATTTTGTTTTGCTTAACCAGCAAATAGAAAAAAGCTTAGTAGTATAGCTAGGCCGGTTCTGGATAAAATCGGTAATGTAGATTCCTAACCACCTATACATTTATGTTTATCGAATCTGTCAAGAATTTCAAGTAATTATTAATTATTTAGAGATTTATTTATTGCAATATTTGCTAAAATCTATTCTCTAAACATCCATTTTACATATTTAACACTTCCTTTTGCTATCAAACACCTAAATAGTTTATTTCTATTTTTACCGTATGTCTACCATATATGTCTACCATTTGTCCACTTTAAAAGTGGACATATAGTAAATTCAAATCTGGCAGGGGAAAGTCAATTTTCGACCAAAACTAATACTTTCTCATGTGAAGAGAATGTAAAAACGAAAAATGTAAAAAACATTTTTAACAACATGTAAAAATACATTTAACATTTCGCCCTAGGGTGCATTTTTGGCTTTAACAACAAATATAAAAAATCTGACTAAAGATATTTAGCAAATACCTTTAGGTATCTCTTCAGGGGACCCAAATAAGGACCTAAAAAAATCGCGCTGAGAATAAATTCAAAAAATATATTTAAAAGTTGATATTTTCTTTTACGAAACAAAAGTAGGGTAAAAACAAACTTTAAATATGGACACCACAAAAATGAACAGAATGTCACATAGCTCCGGAAATTTATTTAGTTTTCACAGTTTAACCTTTCACCCTAGTCTCCCCTAATAAAAATATTTTTGAATTATTTTGACAAATAAAGATACCCAATGGGAAATGCCAGTGTAGTGCCGATATTCACCACTGGCTTAGTACTCAGACGATTGTTCGGCGTAGTCTAGCCGAGCCTCGACAATTAGTGCTGGCGCGGTACAGAATTTTTGTTTCTCCAAAGCTTGGACAAGCCACGGCGGCAAGTGCTGGCTGAGTATAGAAAAATTGTTCACAACGCTCTTTGCCAACATTGCTTTTTTGACATAAACTTGAAAAAAATTATAAAAAAAGTTTATGAATGTTTATAAATATAAATTTATTGAAAAAAATTAATATTTTACTTTTCAGTTGTTCATTTTTTATTTTTATTAAATTTAATAATAACAATTTAACATAATTGTCTAGTTTTGTAAATAATAAATTATTTAAACAAATTAAAATTATAAACAAAATTTAAACTTTAATCTCAATAATAATTTGGTTCCTATTAAAATACTATTATACTTCTTACTATGAATAAAAAATTACCACGTAATTTAAGAATTACGTAAAATGTTAAACGCAATAAGTAATTTAATTTAATTATTAAGAATTTAGTTTAATTTTTTTTATTTCAATTTATTATTTCTAACGTTAGTCCGTAGGTCGTAGGTTCGATTCCCCTCGTCAGCAATTTTGTTTATTTTCATAGGTTTGCGATATTTCTAGATTCCAATCGTTAGGTACTAAAATATGAAAATCTAATGCACACTTACTGTAATTGTTTATTATTTAATTTTTAAATGTTATAAACAATTTTTTTCTACTTCACTTACTATATCCATTGTTGGTCTCCATCTTTAATACGATTTCTTTAAGAAGAGAAATATTTTATGAATAATAACTATTTATTAATATTATTTACCATTTTGTGGTTACATTATTTATAATTATTAATTTACGACTAATTAATAACAATACGGCATTTATTGCGGCAATATTCTCAGCCAGCACTGGTCCAGTGTTGCGCCAGCGCTGTCTGACAGCACTGGCAGGCAGTACTTCGCCAGCGTCAGACAGCGTTATCATCCCAGAGTTATGCCAGTGCTGTCTGTCAGCGTAGCTGCCAGTACTGCCAGTGCTGGCGCAGTACTCCGCCAGTTGTAAATTTCTCATTGGGTAATATTATTAAATTAAAAAACAGTAAAAAATTAAGAAGTAGGTATAATATTATTTATCAAAAAACAAAAGCATGCTCAAAAGTCCAACTTCAAGTGTGGACAGACTGGACAGAATTCGACGATTATTACAAACTAGCTAAAAAACGCGCTGTAGTTTCTCGTTCTTGTGTCTATAAATAATTAACAATTATGCCTATTAACAATAAAAATATTTTAAAAAGTATTTTTAAAAAACTGAAAATTTTGTGCAAAAATTATCATGGTTGCCACAAAATGATAAATATAAAATTACAAGCTGTTTTCAGGATTTTCCAGGTGAATACTTATAAAATTCCTGTCAAAAATTAAAAAAATGTCTGGCTCAATAACACATCTTCAGCTTTTATAGATTTTTATATGGTTATGAGATAAAAACATTTTTTAATTATAAGTTAAAATTTTCTTAAAAATCTTTAACAGGCAAAATTCCAGAAATTTTTTTAACGAGAATGCCAGTTCAAAATGTCAAAAAAATCGATTTATTATTTTTTTTATTTTTGGATTTCTTATAGTGTCAAGAATACTCTCCTAAAATTTTATTGCAAAATTCAAAGTAAAACAAAAGTAGAGAAAATTAAAGATCAAGTGGATTTGCTTGAAAATCGTTGCTCGGGAGTTTTGAGGGTCGCTGATTACGAATATGATATTAGATTTTTGAAATTCAAAATAGCGGATCCAATATGGCGGCCAATTTTTTTCTTATATTATCAGATTTGCTTTAAAATC